TGTGCAGGTACTCTTTGAGTTGTCCCCTGAGTCGCTTGCTAGGGGCAGCCGGTGCGTCTGTATGCGAGGGGAAGAGGTGAAGTGAGGCTCTCCTCTTGTCGGCGGGCAGGATGGTTGAGATGGTGGCGGCCGAAGAGGAGGCGGAGGAGTTGGAGGAGGAGGGGCTGTTGGCAGCCAGACTGCTGCTGTCCGTGGATGCGGACACCGAGGCGGACAGTCCGAGTAGGCCACATGTTGAGTAGCCGAGCTCTGATCCCTCAGTCTCCTCGCCTCGACGAGTCTGACTCCGTCCGGCCGCAGCGACGCTGAATCGCCCTCCAGACCCCGGCAAACGAACCGCAGATCTTGTCGTCTCGAGATCGGTCTTTAAGCAGCCCGGCAGACTGACGCTCGCCTCGACGACATGACGCCCGTCGCTAGTCGAGCCGGCCAGAGAGACGGCGGGAGGACACGAAGTCCGAGTGGAGGTGCTGGGGTACCCGGCTGTCCCAGATGACAGTCCATGTACCGAGAGCCCAGAGTCCGCCAACTCCTCGTCGCCCAGCAACGTTTCCGGCTCCAACAGCGGAAACGGCAGTTTGTACTCGCAGTTACGCCGAGTATACAACTCTTTTCCCTCTTCTTCTCTGTAGCATACGAGAAAAGACCATTGAGCGTTCACATCATCTCTTACTTTATGCCATCACAGCTGCAATCTTTTTTAGATGAAGCATTTCTTTGTACTTTTTTCTTGGTGCGAGTTGTGGATATGTCTTTGGTACTCGACGTTACAGTCGCCTAAGCTGATGAAGGAGTGACAGTGAACTTTCCCCATAATCATCTGAGTAAGCCTCACACCTCTATTCAATTTCACACAGCTCTGCTTCCCAGAAGGTATTCTCATTCAGGCTGAACTAGACGGTAGCTTCCACCTCGTCAAAATGAGAATATCATTTGGAAACATGAATCCTGCTCATCTGATTTTTGGAAACTTAGACTAGCAGTTCTTCAGCCCCTTATCGAGACTATAAGATATTCTTGAAAGCGTAATTTATC